TGTGCCATAGCATCAAGGCCATTAACATCATCTAGCTCATTGATATTATCATTTTTGTATGCAAAATTTGCCTCCACATCATCACTTTGAAAAGTCAAATTTGCTTCCACATTATTTGAACTTCTTTTTATAGAAGCCTGATAAAGTTTTGCTAGATGCTCAGGCGTACGACAGGTACGTGACCAATGTCCTTTCATGCCACACCGGTAACATTGATTTTCAACAACTCTTGAAGGGCCATTCTTATCTTTTTTCTGCCCATCCCCAAGTTTCTTCTTTTGGTGGGTATTTGGGTTATAATTGTTGCTTCCCCCACCATAATGACGGTAATTTGTGCGTCCCCTACCACGACCACGGTCTCGGCCACGACCACGACCACGACCGCGTCCACGTGTATGATGATTATTGCGTACAGTCACATTCGCTTCAGGGAATGGAGCTGATCCAGTGGGACGGATCTCATGATTTTTCATTAATAGCTCGTTATTTTGTTCAGCCACAAGAAGACATGAGATCAATTCAGAATATTTCTTAAAACCCTTTTCACGATATTGCTGCTGCAGGAGCACATTTGAAGCATGAAAAGTTGAAAATGTTTTTTCTAATAAGTCCTCATCTGTTATTTTCTCACCACATAATTTCAATTGAGAACTTATCTTGAAAACTGCTGAATTATATTCAGTCACAGATTTAAAATCTTGGAGCCTCAAATGCATCCATTCATAACGAGCTTTAGGCAAAATTACCGTTTTTTGATGATCATACCTTTCTTTTAAATTATTCCACAATTCTAACGGGTCTTTTACCGTCAGGTATTCAGCTTTCAACCCTTCATGCAAATGGTGGCGTAGGAAAATCATAGCCTTAGCCTTGTCTTGGCTAGTTGCTTCATTTCCAGGTAAAATAGTACTTCCTAGACCTTTGGCATCTAGGTGGATTTCAGCATCTAAGACCCAAGACAAATAGTTTTTTCCAGTGATATCAAGAGCCGTAAACTCGAGTTTGGTAAGATTGGCCATGGATCAAACTAAAATGATAATAACAAAAATTAGAATTATAATAAAATTGATGCACACTGAAACACAATAAATAAAATATTAGGATTCAAAAGTCACCCATAAATAAATTATTCTTTAAAATTATAAACAAAATAAATGAATAAATAAACAATGACAAATAAACATATATGAGGGGAAAAAAATAAACAACACAAATAATTAGTTACAATAATAATATAGAGACAATGTATATATAAATATATATAGGGGGAAGGGGGTAATGTAAATGCGGTAATATAAATAAATATATAAATATTACAATAGACTAACTAATATATAATAAAAATTAAACTAAAAATAAAAATAAAAATAATGCTACAGTGAGATAAACGAAATATAAATTGATAAATAATGAATAAACAACATATAAATTATTAGGCCTTATTATAAATAAATTATATAAACAACATATATAAACAACATAAATAAATACGAACAAATAGAATGATAGGAAAAAATATATATATATATAAACAGTGTAAATTATATATATATATATATGAGAGTTAGTGCAATATAGATAAAACAACAGTAAATATATATATATATATATGTATGTATATAAGGGTTAGTACAATATAGATAAAACAACATGGGACACTGTAAATTATATGTATATGAGAGTTAGTACAACACAGATAAAATAATGTAAAATACCATAGATACCAAATGGAGATGATACATAAATTACATCAATTATTTGAAACAAACATAATATTTTACAATGTGACAACAAAAATAAAATGACTTAAAATAAAACAGAATGTTAACATAAAATAAATATATATAACATAATGAAAAAATTAAAATGTAAAGAAAAGAACAATAGAGTAACATTATATAATATAAAACATGATAATTAAGAAAGGAGATAATATAAAGTTAATATGTAGTCAATACATAGATATATATTGTGATGATTGAGTAAGGAGATAATTAGACGATGAGAAGAGTGCATCATCTTACGAAGGGTTTATACCTCAAATTTTCAGAGCAAGGTCGTGCTGATAACGTGTTGTAAAACTACAAGAAATAAGGAGAATGAAGAGTAGAAAAGAAAGCAAGAGATAGAGAAGACAATGGCCTTTTCTCATATTGTAAAACTACAAGAAATAAGGAGAATGAAGAGTAGAAAAGAAAGCAAGAGATAGAGAAGACAATGGCCTTTTCTCATTCACTTTGGTTCAAGGTACAAATGCCTCATGTATGCCCTCTATTTATAGGCCTCCAAGCATTGAAGTCCTATACTAAGGTTACAAAGGAATAAAGAACATCATAATAGCATTAACAATAAGAAACTCCTCCCAAAAACATTCATTAGGGAGGTTATGTAGTTTATGACACTTGAAGGTGAGGAATCCTATGAGAATTCTAAGGGTTAGGGGTTATGGACATCCACTCATGCAATATTCATAACATATATTTTGTTTTCAGAATTGAAGTGCCGTCTCTTATTTGAAAAGGAACAAGTTGTTGTGGACACTCTGGGGACCAATATATTTGAAATTTGATGGTCAGTGTATTAGCCATTCAACTATAAGAGACCCAAAACGTCACATTGTTTGTTTGGAGCAGAAAGGGAGTAGCCCAACGGCTTCATTTAATTCTGATGAATTGGATCATAATTAGGAAGTATTGGGTCAAGTTCAGAAATTAGCAGGACCATCTGACGGTCTGTCGCATGTTAAAAATTGCTCCCATTCTTTTAGGTCAATGCTACCAAAAAAATTCTTCTTTACCAACAAGTATTGATCTAAGTAGAAAGATCTTGAGTACTTTAAAAATCATGTTTCAAGTTTAATCTTTAGGGCAGTGTGTCTGAAGAAAATATTATTGGGAGGGATTCCCGTCACGACATCTGATAGTACCTTAAGAGATTAGTTTCTTATCATTCGGGTGGAAGATATTTTGGACAACCCAGAAAAAAATCTTCTTTTAACGACTAATAAAGTTGGATCTAGTAAAAGAAGTTAGTCCTTTATAGCTCAACGAATTAAGATTTGAATACTTGTTGGGAGAGTTGACTCACATTTAGTGTCTAACAGTGCCTTAAATATGATTGTTTCTAATAAGAGAATACTCGTGCCTAGCATTAAAAAAAAAAAGCTTCTTTGAACAATCAATCGGGTTGGATTTAACAGAAAAGGTTAGTCTTTCAAAATGTGGTGAACCAGGGTTTTAATCTCCGTTAGGAAAGGTGTCCACACTTAGTTTCAAACAATGCTTCAAATAGGATTGTCTTAATAAAAGAATACATATGCTTAGTTAAAAAAAAAAAAAAGCTTCCTTGAACGCTTCAGATGAGCACATGGGAGACAAGTGAGAAGAGGTGGTGGGGTGAAGGCAATTTCAAGTTAAAACGAGGATAATTTTGTCCCTGAATTTTCAATCCCAGGGTAGCTTCAGCAATTCCTCAGTTCGAAGGTACTTCCAGACCCTCCTACCAAACAAGACCATTTAGGCCAATCCCTGTCCCTATCCTAACGCCAACCTCTCAATCCCATGTACTATATCCGATTATTAATATAAGATCTTATTTAATTTTTATTTTAGTCTTAAATATAAGATCTTAATCTATTTTGTCTCTCATATTTAGATATTTTTTCTCAATATAATCCTTCTAATAATATTAGTTTTACCAATATACCTGATTAGTAAGATATTTTAGGAAAGATAACATGTATTTATTACAAATAACTAACTTAACTTATTTTCTTAATCTCCTCAGATTAGTCAACTAGGTCTTATAAATAGGACCGGAGGCAATACCAAGTAGGGCCACATAATTCCATTGCTATACTCGGCCACTTTTGTTGTAACAGCGCCACCACATCCATATTCTGCATATAATTAAATTTACGCAAATATATATTAAAAAAATCAAGTTCTTGCTTATAAAACAAATTATAAACCGGTATAAAAAAATGTTTTCTACAATTATAAGATTATTAAAAAATGGATCTTATATTAAATATTAGAGAGTGCTATTAAATTTCCTACACCAATTGTTTTTTTGCTTTTAACACACTCTTCAAACTCTATGCAACAACAAAAAAATGCACGGGTAGTTTGAACTGATTTTAAGCGGAATAATAACCTTTATTTGGCAATTTGTTCTTGTATTTATTTGTTTGTTTGTTTAAATTCGTGAGTGGAGGAAAAAAGTGCAGATACAATTTTTAGGACAAGTGGATCCCGTTTTCCAACCATAATACATGGCACAATGTCAACTTCAAAACCATTCAAAGCGATAATAATAGTTAAAGTGTTAGTAGTCTAATTATAATTAAATTGGGATAACTCAGTTATGATGATCAAAATAGTCCTCTACCTCTTGTCCTTTATGAAAGAGTTATTTAATAAATTTGAGCAGATTAAAGCAGTTAAATAAATTAATTAGTTCATTATAATAAATATGACTTGATCTTGAAAACACACCCAATGTAATATTATATTTTATTTATTAGTTTAGATTAGGTAAATTAGTTTGGAAAAAAAAACAAATATAATAGATATAAACAAAGTGAATCGATACATTGTATCTAGGTCTTATTATTCATATGTAAGCTGGTTGAAAAGAATATTATTTAAATAAAAAGTTATTAATTCACAAATGCACAAAACATTCAGAACATATTTATGTATAAAATACACATAATCCAACAAATAAGAGTTATTAAAACACAAATATGACCAACTCTTATTCTTTTTCATTCAAAATGGCATCGATCACTTTAGTTAAAACCGGGGAGAGAAGGAAAAAAAAAATTAAGAAAATTCATGCATCTTGATTACTCTGTTCAAAACTCTTGCCTGGACCAATCACAACATTGATTCACCGATCACCACCGGTTTTTTAATGTGCTAAGCACCACCACTTTGCTGACCCTATATATATACTCCATTGTTTTTACTTCTTTTCTTCAACAAGCAATCACAAAAATGAGTGTTATCAATAAGAGCTTCCTTACTGTGTTCTCCTTATTCCTTCTTGTTATCAACTTCACCTTCACCCATGGCGCTAGGTTTGACGTCACAAACAGTTGCCCTTACACCGTTTGGGCGGCAGCTGTGCCAGGCGGCGGCCAGCAACTGAAACCTTGCCAGACGTGGAGCCTCGACGTGGCTGCTGGCACTACCCGTGCTCGCATATGGGCCCGAACCAATTGCAAATTCGACGGGTCGGGCCGTGGACGGTGCCAGACCGGCGATTGTGGAGGTCTCCTTAGATGCCAAGCCGATGGGACACCCCCAAACACACTTGCAGAATTTGCCCTAAACCAATACATGAATCTGGACTTCTTTGATATCTCACTTGTTGATGGCTTCAATGTTCCCATGGAGCTTAGTCCGACGTCTAATCGGTGCCGCGGAATCCGGTGCGCCGTTGACATCAACCGGCAGTGCTTAAACGAGTTAAGAGCTCCAGGTGGTTGCAACAACCCTTGCACGGTGTTTAAAACGGATCAATATTGTTGCAATTCTGGGAATTGTGGACCCACTAATTATTCAACATTCTTCAAGGATAAGTGCCCCGATGCTTATAGTTACCCTAAGGATGATGCTGACAGCGTTTTCACTTGCCCAGGAGGAACAACCAACTATAAGGTTGTCTTTTGCCCCTTGAATTAGAATATGTGCGTCGTACGTTGTGTTGTGTTTTCTCACTCCAAATAACCACTATCTTTTTAATGTATACCACATCAATGGTTTGTAAAATATCCGCTGTGTTTTAATTTTTTTTTAATGCAAGGGAATATAATGATGGAGAATATAATGGAGTGTAATGCAGATTATCATGGGTTTGTTTGATACTACCTGCCGTACTTAGTACAAGAGCTTGTTTAATTTTTATTTTGCTCTTAAATATAAAATTTTAATTTATTTTATTTCTCATATTTATTTATTTTTTACAAGATAGTTCTTATAATAATAATAGTTTTAACCAATATATTTTATCAGTAAAAAATATTTTAAAAAAGACAACACCTATTTATTATAAATAACTAATTTAACCAATTTTTTATTCTATTCAAATTAGTTAACTAGTTCTTATATTAAGGATCGAACGTACTATAACAGTGGAAATATTGAAACAAAATTAATTTTCTATATTTATTTTAGCGCTCTTAAAAGTGAAAAGACCATAACGGCCTCACAAAATCCCCCCCCCCTTTCCTTCCATTCGATCTACCATAAAAATTATGGTTTCTTTCCTCTCTTCCCTTCAATCTTCCTTTCCCCAGCCGCCATAAAATAATTAACCCCACCCACGCACACTCCGAAATCAATCAATTAAAAAAAATAAAAAATGCAAAACACAGAATCACATTGCGAACTAAAAAAATAAATTATTTATAAGACCACATTTGCAATAAATTCATGATGATGAAATCAGTGGGAGAGGAAAGACAAAGGTGGGGCTGGTGGGTCTCACAGATTTTAGTCTAATTAACGACCTTCAAATTTAGGTGGGAGGAAGATGAAGAAAATTTAGGTGGTGATCGATAAAGGCAAAGGGAGGAGTAAGAGTGGCAGCGATTTATAGGGATGAAAAGGGTGACAACGAAGGCAGAGAGGTGTCGGAGGTAGTTGACGAGGCCGACGACAAAGGCAGAGGGCAGAGGAAGGAGGCGATGAAGGTGAGGTAGAAGGAGAAGGAGGAATAATCACGAAGGTAAGAATTAAGGAATATGAATAAGGATATGAGTGTCTTTTAACATGTGATGTAATCCACATTCATGAGTTTCAAACGTATAATTCTAATGCACATGAGATTATGATTACATATAATGTCATTTCCTTCCCATTATACATAAACACAAGTAAACATCCTCAATAGAATCGATAAATATATGTAGAGAAGATCAAACCAAACAGGCTATAAAAGTTTATGTGAGTTAGATCTTGATAGTGCAAAAAGGATACAACAAATTGCTTGAAGCCCAAAAAGCATTTACAAACATTGTTTTATCATTGAGTTTCACATCAATAATAGGATCCAAAGCTGTATTATAGATAAATTGTTTCTTTATCAACTGGACTAATCCTACTTAACAATATATGTTAATAGTTCTCATCTCTATAAGAAGGAGAACGCAAGTTTAAATCCCAAAACACTTCTAATCCAATAGAGATTAGTTTCAAGTTTAAAGTGACTTAAGAAGACTTTGAGTTCACACAATATATATTTATAGAACTAATAGTTTTTTAACCCGTGAAATGACTTTAACACGATGACACATAATTTGTTGATAGAATTCTTTTAATAACAAAATCTACCTATATAAATCGATATGTGAAATATTAGGCGATAACCAAAACAAAGTGATGCACCACATTATTCACACACTATGAGAAGTGAAACTCAATGCAACACATAGAAAGAAGGTAACATTTATGAATTATTACCTGGCATCCGATTTTTAATATAAGAGCTAGCTGACTAATTTGAGTAGAATAAGGAAACTAGTTAAGTTAATTATTTGTAATAAATAGTAGTTGTCTTTTCTAAAATATTCTTGTTGATCACGTGTATTGAATAGAATTATTATTACTACAAAGACTAATAGATAAATATGAGAAATCAAATAGATTAAACTCTTATATTTATGATCAAAATAAAAATTAAATGAACTATGATATTAAGGACGGGAGGTAGTAGTACTTATTTTCAATATAAATTACTTATTTATCTTTAATATCGTTTTGCAAGTGAAAAAAATGTAGAAAAACAAGAGTGAATGTCTAGTTATATCGCAGGGTTATCGTCATCCTACTCGAGATGGTATTTTATGTACAGTTGAGCAAATGGAAGATATTTTAGGGCAATATCATGACTAGACTAGCACAATATCAAGATCCACTTCCATGGTGTCAGGCCTGTTGCATCACTTTGATAACATCATCATCGTCGAAAATTTCAGAACAACCCAGCCTGATAAACCCTATATATACCCCATTGTTGATGTCTCTTTTCTTCACAAACCAGTCACCTTCCCTTAAACCCTAGCTCAAAAAATGGCACTCATCGTCAAAAGCCACCTCCTGGTTTTACTATTCCTTCCAGCTCTCATCAACTTCACCTTCACCCAGGCCGCACAGTTTGAGGTCACAAACAGTTGCCCCTACACGGTGTGGGCAGCTGGTTCCGCCTTCCCGCTAGGAGGAGGCCAACCGCTGGATCCCGGCCGATCGACCGTCTTAAGCGTGGCAACATCAGGACCCCTCCGTGCTCGCATATGGGGCCAAACCAAGTGCATCTTTTACTGGTGGGGACGTGGGCACTGCGAGACCGGTGATTGTGGAGGCCAGCTCTCTTGCGAACCGTCGGCCACCGTGGCGGAGTTCTTCCTTAACTGGAAGAATAATGACTACTATGCTATCTCAGTGATAAGTGGCTTCAATGTTCCGATGAAGCTCACTCCAACCTTTGAATGCCGTGGCCTCCGATGCGACGACAATAAGTGCCCTGATGCTTATCTTTATCCACAGGACAATACTAAATCTCACACTTGCCCATCAGGAACCAACTATAGGGTCGTCTTTTGCCCTCAAGATTAGATGCAAGTATTTAAAGTAGTATGTTTTCATATTCCTACCTTCAAATAAGGCAGTAAATGTAATGAGATTCATTCTCAGGACATCTGCCCATGTAGGATGTCTTTATTGCTATTGTGGTCGTCTTGTCGTCATAGCTCCTTTGACCCCCCGAGCTTCCACATAAGTAGTATTTTTACGTTAAATTCTCATGCAACCTTTCGGTTATCACTACATGGAGGTCAACTCACATGTTGTGGAAACGGTATGTTTGTAGGTGAGTTGGGTTTTAACCAACCCTGTCATGATGAGTTGGTGGTAGTACTATCAAGAATATCTGTCCTACATGTGAACTTGTATCATTGAAAATATACTCACTCCATCCCTGTTTATCAGGAGCAATCTCTTTCATATAGTGGTTGTCCTTATGAGAAACAAACCCTTCTTATCTAAAATTTTAAATTTATCTTTTCACTTTTATTTTTATTAGATATATGCCACTTATTATCTATTTGCACTAAATTTTTACTCATTATCTCTTATATACTCGCTTTATAAACAAAGGTATAATTTAAAAAATATATATTTTACATATTTATTGCTTTTAATTAAATTTAACATTTTGAAGATTTTAAAAGTTGTTTCTTATAATAAGGGACGGAAGGAGTAATAAATTCTCAGCTTGAGTAATATAATTGGGGGTTGATGATATATGTGTGTATCCGTAAACTTGGATTGATGTCTTTATTTTTATTGTGATCGTCTTGTCGTCATAGCTTCTTCGACCCCTTGGGCTTCTACATAAGTAGTATTTTTACGGTAAATTCTCATGCAACCCTTCTGTTATCAGCATGTGGGGTGATAATATAGACCAATTCATGGATTGTGGGTTTGTTCGTGACGAGTTGAATCTATACAGTGCAGGTTGAGGTTCGCTTGTATGAGGGTTGGCTTTTAGCCAACATTGACATGCCTTGGTGGGTTGACTTGGCAACAATTATTTATTTTTTAAATATTTTTTCTTATTTAATTTAAAAATATATAATGAAATTTTTGTTTTCTTTCCAAATACTTGGTTGAAAGCATCAAATAAATGATATAGATATTTTTTTAGTTTTTTTAAATAAGACGTGACATATAACACTACCTCCGGTACTTAATTAATATAAGATTTCATTTGAATTTTATTTTAGTTTTAAATATAAGACCCTAATCCACTTTGTTTTTTCATATTTATGTATTTTTTTAAGGTAGTCCTTTAAATAATGGTAGTACTAGCTAATATACTTTATTAGCAAGGATATTTTAAAAAAGACAGTATTTATTTATTACAAATAACTAACTTAACTTATTTTCTTAATATACTCAAATTAATCAACTAGCTCTTATATTTAAAACTATAACTAGTAATATCATTATAATAATTAATAAAATAAAAAAATAAAAAATAAAACGCGAGTTAACTCTCGTGAGCTAACTCATGACAAGTTGCGGGCTTGATGGTGGGTTAAAAATGCTTATTTATTGCGAGTTGGATTTTAACCGATTCTAACCCCCTTATCTTCGATGGGTTAGACCTGCAGCTCAATTTTCTTCTTGTATACCAGTTAAGGAAGTGGAGCTGAACAAAAACGGGGGGCGATGGGTGCGAAATGAGGGAGGCAACAAATGGCTGATGAGTGACGGAATACATTATGTCTTAACTTAATCTCAAGTGTCAAGTTTATGTGTTTTATTAAGTTTAATTCAATGTTTGTCCAGTCAATATAATATGTTATGATCAATGGTCAATAGTTATTATATTATAGTTAATAGCTATAATATCAAAATTTTCTTAAACTTGTAACAAAATTGTAAACCAAAAATGAAAAGAATTGATAAATGCTACTACCTCCGGTTCTTAACATAATAACCAGACTAATTTGAGTAGATTAAAAAAATTAGTTAAGTTAGTTATTTATAATAAATAAGTATTGTCATTCTTAAAATACTCTTACTAATCTGTGTATTAGTTAGAATTGCCATTTGATGAAATCTTTAACATGTGCAACTATTATAAAGATTACTTTAGAAGAAAATAGATAAATATGAAAGATAAAGTGGATTGGAGTCTTATAATTAAAACCCAATTAAATGTCAAATTAACTCTTATATTAAAGAGCGGAAGTAGTAATCTGTTGTGATTAACACCTAAGTTAATAATTAATTCATTGTTTGTGCAATCAAAGCTTGATAGGCTTCTTATATGAGTTAGATAAATAATTTATAAATATTAAAAAAATTAATTAAATTAGTTATTTGTAATAATAGATGCTGTTTTTTTCTAAAATATTTTATTAATCATGTGTATTTGAAATACTTTTTGACAATAACTTCTTATGCAATCACTATATAATTACTTGAGAGTAAAATAAATAAATATTAAAGGCTAGATTACATTTTATATTTAAAATTAGATTAAATCTTTGACTGGCACTTATACTTGGGAGGTTATATTTTGTATTAGTTTACTAAGATGCTTTAGTGGTTTAACTAACTGTTAAGATCTGGTAAAAAAAAAAAAACCAACTGCAAAGAAGGGCGTGGCAGCTGGTGCTAAGTTTGGCCTCGGACTGATTTGGCATTTGTTAAATAGTGGGGATTGATTTGGGGCTTACGCATTTTAAAAAGAGAGATTTCTCTCTCTCTCTCTCTCTCTCTCATCACAATTCGTTTCAGAGTTTCAAAGGCATAATCTAATTATTTCGAATCTTAGCTATCCTCTTTCAATATAAAAGCTAATTGACTAATTTGAATAGATTAAGAAAATAGTTATATTAGTTATTTGCAATAAATAAGTGTTATTTTTTCTAAAATATCCTTACTAATAAAGTGTATTGACTAAAATTACTATTATTACAAAAACTACCTTAGGAAAATTTAGATAAATATGAAAGACAAAGTAGATTATAGTCTTATATTTATAACCGAAAATAGTACCCCGTTATTAAAGAACTTACTTTTAAATTAACCAAATCCAAAGAACATTCCTAACTATAATAAAGGAGGAGTCAAAAAAGAGCGCACCACGGTGGCCATACGCAACAAAATTAAAAATTGAATACATCAGATCATCCAATTCAGAAATTACTAGGTTCGGACTACTAAGCATACACTGGACAACCCTAAGTGTTAGCTAAGATTTCCTCCAAATGCTCTCTCAACCTCTTTATTCACTCACAGTTCAAGCTGTATGAGGAGCTGAAGACCAAAGATCCCCTTCTGGGTAAATTGCAGCCTACGCAGGTATACAAGAAGCAAAAGCATTTTCAGCACCAAGCTCGCAAGCCTCGCAAGAATTGAAGCACCAAAACTATGATGCTCCTACAAATTTGTCCAGAGCAGATGTGTCTAAGCCTGCAAACTCCTTTACAGCTGCAGCCACAGAGAGTCCAAGCTTTACAGCGTCATCATTGCTTGGTGCCTAGATGATAATTCCGAATTAGCTGCAATGTTTCAGTACAGCGCATAACTGCTCAAGCAAAGGCTTAAGAACCCTTTACCTCAATGTTAAGGGGAAGGACAGGGTCATGGAGTGAGAGCCTGAGAAGGAACCATCCGCCATAGCCAGAAACTCGGACCTAATTCATAACCAGAATGAGGGGGGACAAGATGAAATTATATTGAAAACATGAGAATACATAAACCAATTAGAGTAGGTAAGCTATTTTTATACTGGATTTGTATTTCATGGTTTCCCATTTCGATATTGAGATGCCTTTTTCATAAACGCTTTGCAAAAATTCATTTTAATTACTGCCAACAGATTCAAATCTATCTGCAAATGAGGTCAAGCATACCCCTTCATAGTTTACAGGTGCCTTTTGTAGCTTTGGATCTGCGCTAATTGAGTTCTCCAAGTGCTTCAGCACAGCTTCTCCATAATCCCGAAATGATCTGAAAACTCTGGCTTCTAAGTGAGTTCACAACATCAGAATACAGGTGCACGCGAACAGAGTCTATATACAGCAACTTACCCTCCCTTAAGGTCCGGATGATTTTGGTTGATCTTTAGTCTCAGTTCCACAGCACAAGCTGGTTCCTGGAGTCCTTCTATTAAATCAGTCAAAACCTTGCTTCCACCACCCTTTCCGGAAGCTCTTGCCGAGGCAAGTTTGTTTAAGATCTTGACCTGCATATCACAGGACCAACTGTCATTTCTGTCCTAACAAGACATTTTTTCCTTGACTTGGCATGCGATTTGCTATTATAATTCATCAAGTATTCACGTAATTTAGTCCTCTTCAATTTAGTCTTTACAGCCTTGTTTGCTTAAAATGCAATGTGCCAAGGATATATGGAATAAGAATCGAGGCAAATTAATACGTTGAGGGACCAAAATGAGAGCGTACTCAATAGTCAATGATTGACTAGATGACATAGCTTTAATAAAAGCCTACCATGAGGTATGCGCCATCATCAAGCCAGTGATTCTCCTTGAGAGCTCCGTGTCCACTGGTTTCAATTGCCAGATGTGACTCCTCGCCAATTGAATTCTGTCAGAAATATTGCTTCATGAGGCAAATATCTAGCTAATTACATAGAAATCAGAGATCCATGTCAAAGCATGCGGAGATAAAATAAATAAATAAAGAATGACGAATATAAAGAATATAAATTTCTTCTGTGCATAACTTCAGTTTCCGTTTTATCTGCTTGTCAATGAGCAGCAATAACTAGGTAGGATGCATACTAGGATTCATTGTCGAATAAATTCAATTAAAATTTATGACGTTCAAATCTCAAACGATGGTGAAGTATTCTTGATATGTAATTATGAACTATGATAAGATTTGGTTAAATTTATTACTTATTTGGATTTTTATCAGGATTTATTTATATTAGTGAGATTTGGATAAGATTAGTAGATTTATTTATTCAGATTTATGCCTATAAATAAATGCAGCACACGGACCTGATTTGCCTTGCAATAAGATTCATATTTTCCCAGATTATTCTCTTACTCTCAAACCCCTATGTTTTCC